AGAACGCACATCTTGGGCATGAGTGTAACATGTTCACTCGCGGCAGTATTTGCGTACAGCCGCTGGGCGGTATTCTGGACTAAGTACGCCGACGGCTCACCATGATTACAGGTAGCTACATGGCAGACGTAACTGCAGTTCTATCCGTAGTTTTCACCAGCCGAACTGGGCCAGCATGGCTTACCATTTAGGACCAAAAAGTTGACAAGACGGCGGAGGGCGAAAAACATGAACCGGCAAACACGTGGAAGCTCCGCATTCTTTGAGGGTTTTTGCACGGCCGGGCTAGACTGCACCTGGAAGGCGGGCGTCGTGGAGGAAGGGGGGGGGGGGTGGGTGGCAAGGGTGAGATATTTTCACTGACAATAAGGATAAGGAGTAGTTGCCTTTACACGGGAATTCATGTGCCGTCTTAGCTGCGGGTAGCGAGAGGGTACACATTCCTACACGTGTCTAGCAGCGCCGTGAATATTGGTCGATGCAGAAACGGTTTCTTTCAAAATCAAGTTCAAGATCTAGTGAAGGATTCGACGAAACACCGTCTGGCGAGGGGCATACGTGTCTTGCAAATAAACAAACACTCGCCAAATTTGCAACGATATACGTTGCAATTAGCGAGCGTTTGTTTATTTGCAAAACAAGTTCAAGATTTGAAAAAGCCACGCTAAACTGGACGGACATGCTTTTCGTGGAAGTACACTGTGCAGGTGGATTTCTTGGACCTGCCCTTCATCGTGCCCGAAATACAGGCTGCCCGTAGGGAAAGCGCATGGGTTGGTTTACTTCATGCCACGCACGTGCTTATTGTGACATTTCATTCGTAGGGCAAGTATTGAACTTCCTGAGAAGCTACGGCAACATAAGAGCGATGTCCCCAAGTTCCAGTGACAAAGAGTACGTTCGCGGACCACGGCATCTATTTTCACAATGCCGGCGTCGTCGAACAAGATGCAGCTTATTTAAACAGGTTTTCGCGAAATCCTGGCCTATCCAAGACAGTCAGTCAGTCAACAAACTTTTTACACATTCCCCTGAGGAGCTGACGTCTTTCAAGACGGCTGGTCGGCTGCGGGCGGCACCCACGTCGGTACAGGAAGGGCATGCCCCTTTCGCAAGGAGACAGCCAGTAACTTCAACCGGCTTAAGGTGCGCTGCTAATCGAGTGCGCTCAATATAATTTCGCTCATCATGAAGAATAGGCACGACCCCACGGCAGGAAGAAAAAGTACGCGAATCGTGGAATTTTTTCTTGCAGCTAAAAAAAAGAAGAAAAGAAGTGGATATTTCAAGGGCTAGTTTTTCTTTGTTAGTCTTGATATTGCACCTAAGAACAACAAAACAAAACATTTGTTTACTCCTTACTTTGATTGGCGTCCCTCTGTTTCAAGTAAAGTCCATTAATTAAAGGACTGCACAGCAAGCATAACCGCAATTAGTCTCCTAACCATGGTTATAGAAATTAAACGGGTGATTCCACGGGAGATAAGGTAATAAACCGAACTGAAGTGAGATCGACAGGAATCTGAAAAGGATGTATCACATTTGATTGAGTATTTCATATTTTATGTATATAGCACCAAGCAGCCCGAAAGGAACCCAGTTTTCTTTTAAACTGCATAATTTATGGGATCAAAAATATGGAACATATTCAATGCGGGGGACCAATTTCATCACCCGTCGTTCTCGACAGGTGATGAGGGTGTTATAAGCAAACATTACCGTTGAATTTTTTGTGTGAAATGTATGCGACAGAAACAGTAAAGTAACATTTATGAAACGTACTTGTAAAGCGAAGGAAACTATTTTTGAAAAATTTCTGAATATGCAACACTAAGTATAAATTGTTGTTGGGCGATTTGATTTAACGTCAGTAGGGTACATAATACCGCAAACTTGGAAAAAACACAGATTCTAGTAAATAAGTAGGAGGGAGCAGAAAGGTCGTGCGATAAACTTCTTTGTTTATTTGAAAGAACAGGCCACCAGATTACAAATCTCTGCGAATGCGTGCGTCAAAATCGGTAAACACTGGTCACATTCGCGTGTCAGAAAGCTGCAGCTCGTTTTGGTAAAGTAAAATAGTCGTATCAATAATGTAAGCTGTGCCTCTTTTCTTAATGTCAAACGCCCCCAATAGCTCGCACTAATGTTTCGTTGCTTCTGCCTATTATCTTGACCTCGCGAAGCCGAGGATCACATCTGCAGGCTATACCATGCGCAGGTAAATACGCATTTCTTTTATTCTTTAGAGATAAAGGATGCTCCCGAGTCGGTCGTTGAGACAGCGTCCTGTTTGGCCTACGTACGTATTCCCACACGACAGCGGTATTTATGCAACCGTCACGCATTTCACATAAGGTATGGTGTGCTTCTTCAGGCATCCAGGCATTTCTGTCAACGTGGCTGACCCACGGACACCGTCCAGCCAACTTGTGTGGTGCCGAGATTACGCCCACGTACCATGCTTATTCCAGCTCACAATCATCAAAAGGTAGCAAAGGTTTGCTTTTGCGTCCACGTCTGGTGATGATGTAAAATTTGAACGACTCTCGAGTGCAACGATCCCGGCGGCGATACCAAATGTTTGTTTTGTCGAGAAGTGGGTGACACGTGTTATTGGTACCTACTTTACACAGTGTTTAGACTTGAGTGAATAGCCGTTTGTAGAAGAATTATTAAGATGCTCGCTTAGCCGAATGTTTACACACCGACACCAACTCGAACAATCAGCCATTTTTACACACCAACCCGGTTGCCCCACGTACACCCACCTCAGTTGTCTATTGGCACAATGGTCACAGTAACTTAGAGTGGTCTAGAGTGGCTATAGACCACTCTGGGCTCCGTGTTTCGGAGCACAAACCGAGATCTCAACCAAAAGTGTCACTTTTTTTGGTCTAGTGAAATATGCCGATGGAATATGCATGCCGATTCGACGCTGCAGTGTACTGGTTTAATATGGCAGACAGTGTGCCATCTTAAGAAGCGGAGGTTGGGAATACTTTCTAAGAAGAATAATAAACATTAATTGGACAACTGCAGATCGAGAAGACATACGCGCCCGATATGTTTGAACTCTTTAGTGTGATTCAGCGGTCCTCTGGATACCATTCAATTGTACGATATGCCGGGGCCATCCTGATTAAATGCGTCGCAGTGGTCTAGCTAAACTATATATGGTCATATCTCCGACGAGCTTTGTAAAGGCAGCCACCCGCCCCATTATTCTGTCAACTAACATGATTTTAATTAGAACTAACAGACAATGACTCCAAGAAATATATAGAGGGTGTTATTAGAAGTAATTGCAATGTACATGTAAAGAAAGAAAATGGCATGGAAAGATAGCAGTCCGCTGGTAGGGACCAAACCTGTGACCTTCGAATAACGCATGCGATGCTCCAGAGCAGGGGTTCGCAACCTGCGGCCCGCGAGGCACTACTATATATGTGGCCCCGGCAGGACGTCCACCCCCCCCCTCTCCTTCTAACCTTATTTCTTCGTATACTTAAAGGACCAGGCAGTTTTGGCCTAAAATGCAATTTTTTTAGTAACCAATGTTTAATTGGAACCTCATGACGCGTGCTTAAAATAAACATGATTTTACAGTTTTTTTACATTATCCCTTTGCTCGCAAAGCCCCCCCCCCCTTCCATTTGGCCCGTCGCTGTGCCAACTTCTGCTCTAGAGCATCGCACGTGTCGAAGGTTCGGTCCCTGACTGCGGTAAGTTACCTTTTCGTCCACTTTTATTTCGTCAAACTTACATTGCAATAACTACGAATAACATTCCCTATACTATCTCTGGCATCATTGTCTGTTAGTCCTCATTAATATTCTGTCGAACAAAGAAAAACGAGCCGTTCAGTTTTCACTTCTTTCCTTCAGCCAATGTATGTATATCTTTCCTAACAGAACAACAAGACCTTGAAGCAACAAAAAAAATTTCTCACACAGGTTTTGATAGTGAATATTACCTACATGCAACACAATCACTCCATTAGAGTCTCTCTCGGAGTGAGACCGTGCGGAAGTGACATAATATCGCTTGTAGAATAAATGATGTTGACACCGGTGATTGTTTTGTCACGAACTCAATGGCCACGATAAATGAAATCTTAGCACTTCATTCACGTGCTCGGAGAACATATTCAAGTTCTCATCGAATGGCCGAGAGATAACAGAATTCTTTGCCTACATTATGCTTGAAGCAGTTTGTTTTTACGAGTGGCCTTGAAAACTGTGTCTCACACCTTTCAAAACAACACGTGGGGAGCTGCATCACACTATCTGAAATAACACAACCGCTGCTTAATTAGTATTGAGCGAAGTGGTAGCTGCACATGACTTCTGTCGTCGTAAATTCACGTTAAAACGGACGTGGCATCTGCCTACACGAGCGAGTCATGCAGCAGAGAATTAATATAATTAATTAATTTGTGCGCTCGATGCACACAAATTGAATTGAGTTAGCTTCTTTGTGGTGGTCTTACTTATTTGTACCAATGTCCATCTGGTTAAGCGCATAATTGTAAGCTATATAAACATGGAAGGTGGTGGCGCGTTACAGTGTCGAACGTTAGGGGGGGGGGGGGGCAGTGGTTTTCAGAATCGGAAAAGAAAGGAAAAGTGAACCCCGCAAATATTTGCCGCCAACTGCGACACCTGAGCAGTGGTTCACTGGGGAAGGGGGATAATAGACTAGAGTGGAGAGATGAAATGGGAATAAGAAAGCGAGAGAAGAGACCAGGAAAAAAAAAGGGGGGGGAGAACTTGTTCTCTTTTCATGCCCTTCTACTCACTCGCTGTCCCCAACTGGACCGGCATAATGAATAAAATGTTCTTTATTACCTTCGCATGCCAGCTACAGGTTTCAGACAGGACAAATTTCCGCTGCACAGAGCCAAATGGTCTTCAAGATTCAAAATTTTAACAACAGACAGCGTCGTTGTGATAGTTACCTTCAGGAGGCGCTGATTACTGAAACGCGGCAGGGGCGCACACATCGACGGAAGCTGAGCCAGGCTAGGGTGGCTAGCCAGGCAAAGAGCAGGTTGTCGCAGTGTGAACGTGTCAGCAGCTTTCCTCCCGCGCCCACGTGCTTGTGTATTCATGGAGCCGCCGGAATTCCAATATTTGGTGTCATTTCAAGGCCGCAAGAAGATTATTTCTGCTCGTGGACCGACGGAGGCGGACATTTTGGAAGCCTTGAAGACGACAGACTTTGGCCATTCTTTGCAAGCATGCCGGATTGAGGTATGTTGTCTCTATCCTGAAGTGCATCGAATTGCATTGTGACAGTGGCCCAAACAGTACTGATTATATTCCGTTGTTAGCACGTGCTTCAACAGTTTTACCAAGCATGCGCTCGCGCTTTTCGAAGCGTGGGGCTTTTCTTGCCCTGCTCTCTCACTGGAGCTGTCGGCCCGCGAAGCGTGCACGTGGTCTCGGAGTTGCTGATGGGAGATGTAAACCAGGTTTAATCTCCGCTTCGGCGGCGCGCAACCACCCTTTGCTGGCATTCGCAGTGGTTGTGTTGCGATAATGTAATGGTGCGAATCGGCTATCGGGGTGGTTTTAAAAAAAAAGTGAAGAAATAAGTGTGGCCTCGTAACTGTGGCTCACTTCGGAGGTCAACTCAACAACACTGCACCGAGGATGGGGAAGTGGGAATGACAGATGTAGAGGATGAGAGGTGAAAATGGTAAAAAAAAATGCGCACTCGATCTGTCTCTCGGAGGCACGCACGAACTTTCATTAGCGGAAAGTGGGGCAGCGCGCTTGGTCATCCAGTTATCGAGCAGGCAATGCACCAAGACACGGCGTTGGTAAGATGAGTGGCCGTCGCTGAGTTCGTTTCCTGGTGTTCAAATTGAGCGAGATTGTTCACGAATAAAGGCATAGCTAGGATGTTAAGAGGTTAGGTATGTAAGGAGATCAGCAAAAAAAAGTAAGACTTTTGTACCGCACGTAAAACATGAAATCAATAAAATTGGACTACAAGAAAGACTTATTATCAATTTCGAAGGACATGGAATAGGCTAATTTCTGTGGTTACTGCATGTATCTTCCATAGTGAAAATAGCGTGGGTGCAGAAGCTGCTTGTTAGCATCGGCATGCGCAGGGTTCCCCTCTGAAGAGGGGGGCTGGGTGAAGGTTGCACGCCGGGCACGTTCTCTCCCCCCACCCCGAAATTTTTTTCGCTCTGCCTACACAGAACAAAATGAACGTTTACCTGCCCGGTACCCACTATAGATCAGAAACGTGCCCTCCCCTCTGAAAAAGATATCTGCATACTACCCTGGCTGACTTTGCGCTGCCTTCTGAAACTCAGCACCCCTCTCCCTATTGTGTCAATGAGTGGGGCAAACATGGCGACCCCCTTCTACGTCTTAATTGACAATAGGGTGAGGGGCGGGGGGGACCGCCAGCTGTGCTCCCAGGTATGCTCGTCAGAAACTGAAAATTCTCAAAGCTAGCGTAAAGTGTTGTGTGTGTGTGTGTGTGTGTGTGTGGTGTGTGTGTGTGTGTGTGTGTGTGTGTGTGTGCGTGTGTGTGTGTGTGTGTGTGTGTGTGTGTGTGCGTGCGTGTGTGTGTGTGTGTGTGCGTGCGTGTGTGTGTGTGTGTGTGTGTGTGCGTTCGTGTGTGCGTGCGTGTGTGTGCGCGTGCGTGCGTGTGCGTGTGTGTATGTGTGCGTGCGTGCGTGCGTGCGTGCGTGCGCGCGCAGTCTTGTGTTCTGGATGCTTGTTCACCAATGCTGTACGTTTGCCCCACGGTCGGCATTTCTGTCTCGCAGGTGTCGTTAGGTGTGTTTAATGCTTTGTATTCTTTGATATATTGTGTTGCTTTGTGTAGTGAAATCATCAATAATTATTAGGTGTGTGAGTATTCAAATTACCAATGGAATAGCGACGGATCCTTTATCTCTATTTAGCTATTTCATTGCCGAAATGTGTGCACTCGAACATTAATGGGCTATCAACACTGTATTTATTAGCGCATGATTTCGCTTCTGCAAAAAACTATGGTGTTGCCAAGCGGTGGTGTTGGATGTTGAAACACAGTTTGCATTTTAGCCATTTTGTAAAGGTGATAGCTGCCAGGTAAAGCCAGCTACATAGGTCAGAGAAAGTGTTTCCCAGAAACAGTCTGGAAGATAGAAGTGCAGCATAGCGTTCTTGCAGAGTAATATGAGAAGCACGATCATAAGATCGACTTCGACATCGCTTCTGTTCTTGAAACAGAAAGGAATCTATGAAGGAGGCTCTTGTTCAAATGCTGTTACATTCAGAACACACCTGTAAACATGAACCGGTCGTTAGGAACAATTCCCTCTGTATACGTTCACAGCCTCCGATACGCGAGAGAAAGAGAAAGCAGGGGCCATTGTCAAACAAGACGGGGAGATGCTTCCATGACCAATATAGTCATCTCCTTAGGAAAATACCGAATTGGTTCCGAAACGTCGAGATCTCTACGAACTTGGCTAGAGCCATTTCTAATTTCTAAATTGTGATACACTGTAGAAGAAAAGTTTGACGACAGAGATAACAACAGAGCTAAAAAATTTGCTTCAGCTTAGCGCACGCAAGAAATGCAGCCTAATAATTCCTTCAACGTGCGAAAATATAAGGCTCCATGGTCTATTGAATGAAGACTTGTGCCATTAGCGTATACAGTATTTTATAGATAGCAGATACTGTGAGTGTGGTTTTTCGTTGTAGCACAGTGATTATCTTCTGCTAGTACAGCAATCATTAAATGCTTTTGTTTATTTCTAATTGATGTTATGAAACAGTGAAATTTCACAAGTTTAATTGTCACTATTTCACAAATCTGAACTTACTGATACCGAATGTCCAGACGAGTAATTTACAATGCTCTTTACAATACATACATTAAGGGTTTCTCGACAATACACACGGCATCATGATAATAATAAAAAAAACAGGACAAGTAAAGTGATTCTAGGGTGCTATTGAATATAACATTGGTAGTCTGCTTACTTCAGGTTCTGTGCCTATTGAGGTAACTTTATGGGAATTTGAACATCACATCTGAATCTCTTTCAGGTATACAACGTCCGACATGATGAATTTGTGGACCCACCAGCTGGCCATGTCTTCTCTGAGAAAGATAAAATCAGGCTTGTGTGCAGTGAAAACTTCTTAATGAGCTGCAGGTCAGTACCTAAATTTCAGGTGCCAAGTTTAATATTGCTTTTGGAAAACTGCATCACTTACTAGCCTCTGTTTTCAGCACAACTGACAAAGTGACAGCAGTGCATGAAGGTAGCCTGCCCAAGACCCTTGAAAGTAATGAGCAGTCACCTAGTCAGCAGCTTGCCTGCTGTGAAAATGATTATAGGCTACCACCTGTGCCCTTAGATATTAAGGATGCGATTGAAAGGACACAACCAGGAAAAGTGTCCAGTCACACTAAATCCCGCATTGTAGGGTGGATTGCAAATCATCTCATGACTATAACAGTGTAAGTATAGGCATGTATTTGCATGTGTTTAATTCAGTACAGGTTTTAAAGTTGCTCTTTTTTACAGCTATCCAGGAAGCCTCTACGAAGCAGCTGCAAAATCTCTCGTGTTGGAATATCCAGTGCTAAGGGACACTATTGGCACAGGCTGGGTAAGCACTAAAGCAATGGCATTCCTATAACTTTATTGGGATGTCATACATGTTGGTGAGCTAGACTGCAGGTGCCCTTCAAGTTATTTTGTTCTTGGAGAGCATTCAAGAAGTTTCAACCCCATATTTATTACATTTGAATAATTGCCATGCATGTTCTTAGAGTCGTTTCATCGAACTCTGATAATGGCAGACATTAACTTGAGGGTTTGATAATAATCATCAACTAGGTGCCCATGGCCAATATATTCATATCATGCATTAATAAAGTTAAAAACTGGCCCTGGTTATAAGCTTTAACACCGGTTTAAGAGGATAAATACAGATGTAATGCATCGCTTCTGGGGATTGAATATTACCACTAATGGTATATGTAGTTTCTAATCACAGCTTGAATAGAGGCTCACACAAGCTCAGTTCTGCGACTGAAATGCCACGATCTTCGCCATGCCGCATGGCTCCAGCACATACATAAAATGCAGGAACCGGAGTTTGGAATGAGCAGATAAAGCTAAAATACAACAGATATGCTGATATTACTAGGAACAGCTAAATTTGCCAGGTATTGTCACCTGAATCTGCTTCTGCCCCATAGCAGGTTAAAAGCAGTGTATCAAGGTTCCCAAAGAATCATTTGCTTCAAAAGTGACCATGTTCAAAGAGGACAGTGTCCACTGTGCGGAAATTTGAAATAATAAAAAAAATTGTTGTTTCCAGGACTCATGGAAAGTCTCCTTGAAATACAAATTCGCATATATGAGGAAGTCTCTGTGCACAGTTCCAGCTGTTCAAGCAGCGAGAGCAGCTTACGGAAAACGCAAAGACTTAGAAGAAAGCACCAATACTAAGCGGCACTGCCATGTGGTAAGTGAAACGTCAAATGGACTGGTACATAGAACTCAACTATGAAGTCACTCTTATTTTATGTGTGAGCTACTGAAGTAAAACATTATTCATGTTTTTAACGATATAACCTCTTCATATCAACACATTAAGAAGCCAGGCAAGTTTTCAGGGCCATATTGACAGTTAAAGTATAGTAAATGCAAAATAAGACAAAATAAATTTGGTAAACAAAAAATCATCTTATCTCCTATGGAGAACAAAACAACAACTTTCACAGTTTTCATGCAAGGCTCTATTATTTGAGTCAAGATGGTAACGCTCTATCAAACTTCTATGTGTCCCTGTATGTTTAAAACTCGGCGTTTCAGCAAGTGCCGCGGGCATGTTGCTCGATTCCTCATTCTTTTCTTCATTTTGTAGCTAGGTTCCCGACTTGGCTGATTCCATGCTCCTTGGTTAGCAAGTAGTAGATTTATTGCTCGGTATCAGCTTGTTATTGACATCATGCATCATTCCAGCTTTAAATATTGTGTTCTACATTTTGCACCATACTTATCACTGAAAGTGACTGACAATCCTTTGATTCAACTATTAAACTCGCATGAGTACTGAAATAAGTGGACAGGTGAAATCAAACTACTGCAGCTCAGTGAGCATGTGATGTGAAAGCTCCAACCAGCGATAATTAATGCCCTTTCAGTGGCCACCATAAACAATGCCCATATGCTATGCTTGGCTTCAATATCTGTCTGTCCTCTACATTAGAAAAGCTCCTTATTGCTCTTTATTTGTTGACTACACCATGTAACTATACATAAACCAATGTTTTTCCAGAAGCTTTTTAGAGGTGAACATTTTTTTTGGGGGGGAGGCAAGATACATATTAGGTTCGAAATTTCAAGTTTTCAAACTTTCTTTTTATATGAAAGAACAAGCACTACTAACTAATATCTGGTCAAAGTTTTACATATATGACATACATATAAAGGCAACAACTCTTGTATTCTAACACCGACACCGCAGTTGGCAATATTTAAAATCAGTGTTACCTCTTCAGACTCCTTCTGATATAGGTAGGAGGCGTGGTTCACTGGTTTTACACACACATTTGCGATATGCTGGTTCACAAGGTGTAAATTGGAAGTGGTGAAGTGCCGAGGTGGTCGACATTGGAGAGAATCATTGTGAGAACTTTGATATTAACATAATTTATGACACACTCGCAGAGCAAGATGGTATCAGTACACACTGCTTCAGTTCTCTTACGTAAGTCAACCCTGTAATTGAGTTCTCTACACATGTCCAGTTCAAAAAAATGCCAACATTCTTCAACTGAGCTAGCAAAAAGTTGAGTTTTCATGTCTGCCTATTTCATGTCATTTGTCGTGATCTTTCACTGTGCAGTACCATCTTTTTTTTGCTGATTAGATTGTAGATCTCTCCCAACATGTCGCTTCTCAGCATGATGAGGCTACAATTAATAGCCATATTGACTACATGGTGAAAGAAATCAAGCGGCCTATTCCTGACATGCAAAAACTCGGTGATTCTATGGAGCAGACAAGACCATCTAGACAGAAGTGGATGAAGGAAATGAGGCCATCAACAGCAGATGTGGTGCTGAAATACCCTGCTTTGGCAAAGGCTGAAATGGTGAGCAGAAACAGCTGTGGTTTTGATCCTGCTGCAGAAATGTATGTGAGAGAACTTAACAATGAGTTTTTTTATGTTATCGATAGTTGCAAATTTGTTGGTGATTCGGTACAATTTTTTTGTCGTTCTAGCTTCATGAGGAGTTCATTGCTCTCACTGGCGTTAACTTAGAAAAAAAGGTCCTGGAATTTATAACCGGTATGGAGACCGGTGTTTTGAGCTTGCGAAGTGTCGTCGTTGCGCGAAGGAAGCTGTGAAAGCAATTGAAGAAGAAGTCGAGGCACTGGATGGTGACGAAAAGAAATGTACGTGTAGAAGCTTGCCAGCTTTTCCAGTTTTCCCCAAATTTCCAAACTTTTATAAGTCATTTTCATAGGAGTATTACTGTCAATGCCCTTATATGTGAAAGTTTGATGTGCCTAAAAATATTTCGTCAACAGATCGCTTTGCCGTTGGCATTGTCGAGTTGCTGCCCATGCTCCTAAAGGAGCAGCCGCGATTTCTGCAGGGACCGGTGAGCTTATTTGCTTTACCTTTTTTTATATCAGCTAGTATACTTTTCATCAGTGATGCTGATTTTATGTATTACTCATTTTACAGGACACCTACCCTGCCCTTTCGCTGAAGGGCAAAAATGCCTCTGAAGCTACAAACATAGTTGCGAGCTTTGAAGGGCTTAGTGTAGAGGTGCTTGATGTAATTGCAGGTATGACGGCGCTTATGGAAATATACTGGATATTCGATGTCAAGTACAGTGGCGCCAACAAAAAAACATTCACTCTACTTGAACATTTCTGTGGCTTGCCGACAAGTGCAAAGCAGATGCCGCTAGTCATACGGCAAATATCATCGCTTGAAAAGGCAACTTAAGTTATGCCTACAGACGTGTGTTATCAATAAATGTTTTCATATAAAAATGCACTGTGTGGCATATTTCATTGCTCCCTGGCTTTGGAACAATGCATTGTTTTGTTCCTGACAATGTCAGCCGCATAAACCTGTGGTTTTATACGGCCGTTGACACTCAGCAGTGAATTTGGAGGTGTGTTCGTAGTGTCTTTCATGATAATATATTTCGCAGTGTGGAACAGAACCAGGTGTTTTCCAAGAAAAAGTGCTAAATACCATGATGCAATACATTGGCAATTATTCTGATTTTATATGTATAGTGCATATCTATATTATTGGTATATATACCCGCATTTTCGTCGCATTCATTACAGCTACAATGTTCTCGGTAAAATATGGCCATCAGAATAATCAATTCAACTAACCTGGTGTGCACACAATTGTGTATTCGAAGAGTCTGTCGTACCTCCATACCAGCCGTAGCTAGTAAGAACGTAGCATCGATTACTAACATATTAGCTTCGTAACTTTGGAAGAAGGTAGTGGAACTTGCTACTTTTGGGTAGCAACGGCTTGTCACATATGTTACAACCATATTATAGTAATGGGAGTAGTAGTAACTATTGCTACATATGCCGTTACTAACAGGAAGTAGTAATGGCAAGGCCAGTAACAGTTACTACCCTTGTTGTTGCTACCTGCTGTTAGTAACAGCAACGGTAGTAAGGATTCCTACCCTTGCTTTTACTAGCTGCTGCTAGGAACGGCAAGAGTAGTAACAGTGACTACGCTTGCCGTTACTAACTCCCGTTACTAACAGGGTTGTAACATATGTGACAAACTGTTACTACCCAAAAGTAGCAAGTAGCACTACTTTTTTTTTAAGAGTGTACTTTCACCTTCAACGTTCCGCCAGATAGAAACGCGCTAGCGTTACTGAGCCCATGTCACCCAAAATGCGGTGTCAGCGCCGTTGTCCATGAGCGAAAAATTCCGATGGATGCAAATAATAAAACGCAGGTTCGAGGTGGAATCGAACCCAACCTGGGTCACGGATACCACCAGTTGCGGGGGTCTCTTTGCTGCTGCTCACCCCCTATTTGTGTATCTTGTGCTCTTAGCTGTGGCTCCGATCATGGCTCAGATGTTTTCAGGACGTTACATATGTCCGTGAGTCACAGGCCCAACGACGCCATAGATGAAGCTTAAGCATCCTTCTGGATTTCCTTTTTATGTGTGTATTTGTTGTATAGTCTGGAAGTGGTGAATTTCTTACTGCTAAGGGGAAGCGAATAATCTTCTTCAATAAACTGGTCTGCCTTCGCTGCTTCCTTATTTATATAGTTAGTGCCCGGTAAGTTCTAGCTATATATGAGCTTTCGTGACGGTGCTTTTAGGCAACTATAACAGCAGTATGCAAAATATTAAAATGTAGATGGTAAGGAAAGTTTCTCACCCTGCGCAATTTTGGGTGTATATCTACTATAGTTGGCTGCAGTGGCCGCATTCATATGTGGGCGAAGCGCAAAATGGTCGCATACGTGTCAACTCTGTACGTTCAAGAAGATCGCGTTGTGAAAATTAATCCACAGGTCACATTAACACTTCATGGTGTCGGCACCTAAAAAACCCAGAACTTAGTTTGGTATTTCGAACGTCTCGTTTGTGCTGTGCGCCCGTGTCACTAAAATGCGATCCAGTTTTTCAACTTTAGAGATCACAACAGTACCCCACTTCAGATACTTATCAGGTCAAATTAAAATACTCTACACCAACATTGCCGCAAACGCCGTGCTCCGCCTAGGCTACTGGTGCCAATTCACAGTATTGCATTCACACTGAGCAAGCAAGTAGTGGCTGTATACAGTAGATACCGCTCATGTATAAGCAGGCTTTTGCTGTAAAACACAATCTACCGTATGAAGGTGTAATGACAACCTAGTAGGTTCGACACTTTCGCATAAGTGCAACAAAGCGAATGGGCGAATGACGAGAAGATGGGAATCCCGAAATCTTTGATTGAAAGACAGCGTCGTGTTGCGTATAGGTCAGAACTTATCCACTGAGCTCAACATAAACATGGGGAACGAACAAACATGATGAAAACACATCATGTTTTTTTTTCGCCCCCCTACTTTGCTTCTTCTATGAAGGTACATTAACTATATCAGGAACGTGAATGGAGGTTATAGCAGTCATTGCTACACGTTCCGTCTTCTCGTCCTTCGCGTCTGTGCACGTTGTGCCCTGACTCGGTCATACAGCGTACATCACAACTTTGCGGAAGAAACGCCTTAGTCATTGGGAACACTGTGGAAACAGCACGCACTAATATACTCGCCAAATAAACACATAATCACTATTGAGACGATTCACCGAGGAGCTGCTTGACTGGGTGAACTGTACCACTGTTAAAGTGGTTCTTGTTACAAAAGAAGCGCCACTATTGCACGAACTTCTTGTAACTTTTCTTTTTACCTTTGTCATGAGACGTAAAATTGTCACTTGAGCGTATCCTGCTAAACCGACAAGCTTACCGCTGAGAAATATATATGCTCCTAAGTTGAACGATAAAGCAATGCCAGAGTGCGTGTGCCCAAGGGGGCCAATTATATATCTGAGCGTGGAAGAGCATCGCATCCATCCTGTGCCGGGTGGGCTTTTCTTCTCTGCACTCAGCAGCGTGGGTCACGCCGCCGCGCCACAGGGGGCTGGACACGACGCGCATAGGGAACGCCATCGTGGACGAGATGCTGCGCGTGTTCCGGCTGAACGCGGCGCTGGTCGAGCGTCTGACGCCGCTGCGCGTTCCGGGCGAGCTGCGCTTCCCGGGCGGCCGCGTGCACGACGTGCGCGTGCTGGGGTTGCCGGCGCTGGAACGGCGCGGAGACGTGGGCGCGTCGATCAGCGGCGGCGTGCTCACCCTGTCGGGAGGCCTGGGCGTCGACGAGCTGCTCGTGCAGAGCCGTTACACCGCCGGCCCGCGGCAGCCCCTGCAGCTTGACGGCGAGATCGACGGACGCGTCACCAACCTGACTGCCGGCTTGCAGCTTGCAGTCAACGTGGCGCAGGCCAGGGCTGTCCTCGACGTATTCAAGGTGCCTGCGCCGCTCGCACGAGCCTTTATTGGGGCGGAGTGCGCTCGCTGATCCGGGCACTGTACTTCAGAATGGTTGAACTGCAGATATATTTTGAAGTTCGCGCAAACTTTTTTGTATCGCAATTGTTGAATGGTGCGGTTCTATTATGGCTTTGCTGTATTCTTGGCTTAGGTACGGGTGCAGATCAGTCTTATGCTTTTTTTTATTTTCTTGCGCTATATATCCGTACGATTGGTGTCGTACCAGAATTCTACACTCTCTTATCTGCTCAATGAAAAAGTTTTTGGATGAAATTAAGAAGGCTCCTTTTGCAGCTAGCTGGAGAAGAATTGATTAATTTACGTGTGGAATTTAACGTCCCAAAACAACCATATGATTATGAGAGACGCCGTAGCGGAGGGCTCCGAAAATTTCGACCTCCTGTGGTTCTGTAACGTGCACGCAAATCTGAGCACACGGGCCTACAACATTTCCGGCTCCATCGGAAACGCAGCCGCCGCAGCCGGGATTCAATCCCGCGACCCAAATCCCGCATCCGGGATTCGATCCCGCGGGTCAGCAGCCGAGTACCTTAGTCACTAGACCACCGCGGCGGCGCAGCTGGAGAAGCAGTCTTCTTTACAGCGCGTGTGAAACCTCACGGGCTATCATCAGCGCATTGCTAGCGAAGTTCAACACAAATAGGCGAAGTGTTCTTTGCTTACCCGGAAAACTGAAATTCTACATTTTCTTAAACAATATTTATGCCTTCTCTAGAATGATGAAAAACCAGAATTAGGAACTGAATAAAGAAACCGAATAAGTAAAAACTCGTTAATTCGACCCTTGTTAGGGCGGAAAATCAGATAATTCGGACGCGTTCTCCGGTCCCAGCCAATATATATATATATATATATATATATATATATATATATATATATATATATATATATATATATATATATATATATATATTGTTTATTGCAATAAAAATATTGTTAGTTTGGTCATAATTGGCCACAATCTGGTTAATTCGGACGAAGCCCACCGAGCGCGAAGCTCCGCTAATGTGTGGTGCCACAATGACGCTCTCGGACAACCGATTCGAGGCGACGCAGTGCACACCGCCAACGTCATCCTTGCGACCCGAGCGAACCACCGGAAAGCCATAACTATGGTAGCCAGAACGCTTCAAATCAAATCAAATCAAGTTTTATTATTTCATAAGATGTACAAAAAAGAATATACAGAAGGAGGTCCCGTAGTATACACTGTAATGGGACCTCCCATGAAATGTAAACATAAGTATTTGATTGGCAACAACAGTGCGAAAATAAGAGAATACAAGGTTAAAAAATCAAATACAGATACAAGTAATTGACAATGCTCTCATCAACTAAATGCAATCGTAAATATAAACTGTAAAATATATTTATATATATCTATATAAATAGCATGACATGAAAAGGTAAAAAAAACGAGAAACTGAAAAGAGAATAACATGGCGAAGGAGAAACCAGTTAGGCACAAGAGTGAGTGTCGCATAACAAAAACTTTTTCAATTCATGGCATTTTTTTGTTTTTTTTTAATTTTTATTAATAATGGCAATGTATTTCATATTGATAAGGCCGCAAAGTGAACTGTCTGTCTGCCATAATTAGTTCGTACTTTGGGCAGAATGAAGTTGTCATACTGCGCAAAACGAGTTAGGTTAGTATGTAGTAAAGATGATGAATGAATTGATAATAATATTTGTTTATTGATTAGTTGAAAAAGAAAAGTGGAGAGATGGAATTTTACAAGAGCGGTAACATCAAGAATTTTATTTTCTTGTAGGAACTGTTTAGAATTGTGGGTGGGTGAACTAAATGTGATTAATCGAATTGCCTGGTTCTGAATGATTTGTAGTGGTTTCAGATGAATGGTGTACGTGTTACCAC